GGTGCAGTTGCGGGCGGTGATCTCGGATTGAGGCCAGCACATGTCCTCCGGCGTAGCGGCTCGCTCGACGACACTCCTGTTTCAGGGCCTCGTCGACATGCTTGCCGATCCCTTCGAGCTGTGCACAGGCCCCATTCAGCCACGAGATATATCCGGCCGCCGACTCCTCGGGATCTCCGCGGGGAACTCGAAGCTCCTTGCAGACTCCCGCCATTGCTGCGCAGCAGCTCTTGAGGTACGAGTTGAATCACACCTCGCGACCTCGGAGAGCTTCCACGTCCTGGTCCTTCTTCACTTCCACCATGGTCCTCTCAAGTTCGGCCACCTCGAGCTTCGTCTTCCAATATTAGATTCGACGATCTCGGTCAGGCAACGCATCCTCGAGGTCTGCCCAGCACGGAAAGGACTAAGTCAAGCTATTCTTCTCTCCCAAGAACACAACAAATTAAGTCAATCCAAATAAAAAGAGTGAAGGAGAAAAAGACAAAAACCTAGGGAAGTCATTGCCATATTCGCCTCCACGGACGGGTTTTGACTGACCTCCTCCCGTGGCATGAATGGCTCTAGCGCAAGAGCCAGAACAATCACCAGCATGTCCAGCTGCCCGCACTGCTGGACATCCTCGACATCAACATCTCTATAACGACAACAAAGTACTCGGAATTACATGCTAAGAAGACAAGGGAAACAACTGTATAAATAAAAGCAGTTCGAGCCCACAAAGAGTTTTACAGCATGCTAATTAGGGGGTACAAGGGAATAAAGCCCTATTTTTCAAAAAGGAGGAGGACAGACTCCCCCAACTCACCGACTTCCTCCATCATGCCCTTGCGCGCGTCATCGACGGCTCCCTGACCCAAAACTTTTTTAAGGTCTAGATCAGGGTGCGCCAACCTCACGCACGTGAGGACGTGGCACGCCCCGGTGTAGATCCCGTTGGACGTCTCCTCCCCGATCCTGGCCGCATGCTTGGAGGGGATCTCCTCCATCGCCGTGGCCAGCTCCGCGAGTGAGGACATCAGTGAGAACTCGTCAGGGTTCGCCGGGATGGTGGTTGTGACACCACACTCCCCGGCAAGCTGGTGTAGGCCGGTGTATGATACCCGCAGCGAGCCACGGATCTCTGACAAGTTGTTCTCGAGCTTCGACATCCGGTGCTCGAGCCCCTGCCGCTGCCTCTCATTGCCGGCCACTAGCTCCCTCATCTTTACGAGGTCCTCGCGGGCCTCCGCCAGGTCACGTGCCAGCTGCTCGGCGCGATGGTTTGCCGATGACTCAGCCGCCCTGGCCTCCTCAATCTCGCGGCCTACGCCGTGAGCACCGGCCTGGAGGAGACACTCCATCTCCGCCTGGAGCTCCCCCCCAGGTGAGGGCAACAGTGGATGAGCCCCGAGCAGGCACGAGGCTGACGGCGGGGCTACTCGGTGTTGCCACCCGGTCCTTAGCAACGACCTCGACATCTGTCGAGGTCGCTGCAGGGGACGCACTGGAAGCCGCGCTGGTCCTGTCTTGCGCCGCCTTCGCCCGTGCCATCCTACGAAGAGTTTTTCCCCTTTTATAAAGCTAGGCGACCAAGATTTCGTAAATAAAAAGACTTCAAAAAAATCCACTTACTTCTCGCCGATCGTCACCAGCCTCTGCCTTCGCTGAGGTCGGGGAGACACGTCCGAGGCCGAAGCAAGATAGGATGATATGAGGTTAAATCATTCCGACTACACGTTAAAGAATAAGAGAGGCTTACCGCCAGGCTTGGCGCCTTCCGACGGGTCCCGAGCATGGAGGAGAATTTCCTCCCCTTCTTCGGAACATTGCTGCCACTCATGGTAGCAGCAGCAGCAACGTCGGACACCTCCTTGGTGACGCCCTCCTTCAATGACGCCGCCGCCTAGTGGTCCACGAGTGGCCTGATGACGTCCGTCAGAGGGAGAGCCCGCATGACATGAAGTCACGATGCGACCTCGGGGAAAAAAATGTAAAGGAGACATCGAGTACACTCACGTTGATGCAGCCTCGCGCTCGGCCGGGCCCTTCTCGCAAAGAGGGATGGGGATGTCGCTCGCCGTCAAGGGGGTGCTGATCATCACCTGGCCGACGCGGCATCCCAAGGTGCCGCTGTCCAGACCTGTAGATCGAGAACGGGAACTCGATAAGTCAGGAGAAATAGATGTACTCGGAGTAAAATTCGAAATACAAGAAAAAATACCCCGAGGAGAAACCCGGGTCGCGTCCTCTGGCCCAGAGTAGTTAAAGGCTGGATGGGCGTGGGCCTGGAGCGGTTGGATCCGTCTACCTATGAAGTTGGCTACGACTTCATACCCCGACAACCCTCGTGTTTGGAGATCATCGATAATGTTGATGAAAGACTGGAGGGAGGGAGTCAGGGCGGGTTTGGCGGTCCACTCTGGGATTTTATCTGGCTGCTCTTCAGGGACAACAAGGACGGGGTCTGAGTTTTCTATCTGAAGATAGAACCATCTCGCTCGCCATTTGCTACGAGAGGATGGGCACTGGTAGGGGATGTAGCGCGACTTCAGGCAATCCTGAATTCGGAACCCAACAGATCCAGATACCCTATTTGGTTCCATCCAACGCAACTCATAGTAAAAGCGGAAGAGCTCAAGGAAGGGCTCTGCCCCAATGTAAGCCTCGCAAAGATAAGAAAGAATGCTAAGGAATTCGATGGAATTGGGGTTCAGATGAAGCAAAGAAAGGCCATAGATGTTCAAGACGAGAAGAAGAAACTCGGAAGGTGGAGGAAGAACACCGCAAGAAATGTAATCCTCAACCACAACCATACGGCCCAACATGGGTTCGGGTTCAATACCTCCTGTCTCCCTCTGCATGGTCCCGCGACCAGGGAGGGCACTGTCGTCCTGCAATTTCTTCAAGGACGCGGTGGTTGAGGTGGACTTGTCAAGATCCATCGCCGCCGGAGGATCGCCGGAGAACAAGAGGGAAGAAGCAAGCTAGGGTTTTCTTTGCGGAGAGCGGAGAAGACAAAGGGTGCTAGAAGGCTGAAGAGTCTTTTTGCGAATGGACTTCAAATGGGTTTCCAGAATCCCTTTAAATAGGCACACTCCGACGGTGCGTATTCCAAGCAAAGGAGAGAGATTGCCACCGGAAAATTCTGGGTCCATTGCACGCGGTAGTTTTCAGACTTCAATTTAAATTCACTCATGACCGTTGAACTTCATGGGGTGTTGTCGATAACTCTTTGTCTCTACGGTTCTCAAGCCAAGATCGACCAGAAGTCGTGATCGGTTACATGAGCTCATTTAAGCAGAAGTCGGGGGCTACTGTCAGGGTTACGGATTAGGTATACCCTTTATCCTTGGATATACGTTGTATACTGATATGGTATACCTGCGCGTATACGGATAGTCCCTGTATACGTTAAGGAAATCTATCACGAGATAGAAGCAGAATCCACAGATGGAAGGGGTCCTACTTGGACAAGATTGGGTCTTTACCATATCGTGAAGGGTTCGATATATCCGAGGTCTACTTGGAGATCAACTGACCCATGGTATAAAAGAGACCCCCTGGGCAGGACCTAAGGCATCGAATCTCACCGCCAACACATCCACCACAGCCTACGAAGCTGGAGCCTACAGGAGCCAAGTCGCCGGGTGATCTAGTTGAACTAACTCGATTACGATCTCGTCGGTATCATCGAGTTCTGTTATTCCCTTTGTAATATGTGATTTCCATCATATAATCCCATACGAACTGGATTAGGGCTATTACCTACCAAGGGGCCTGAACCAGTATAATACTTGTCTTCTGTTTGCTTGATGTCGTATTACGTAGATCCTCATAGCAACATACCCTAATACCCTCTATATCCGGTCTACGGGTATCCCCCATTGATAAATAGTTTTAAATCAGATTTATAAATCAATTTTAGAAATGAAGTAAAATGTTCAGGTAGATATAGTTAACATTTCCATCCCAAAATGTAATAACATTTGGCTAGACAGGAATATGTTCAGGTAGATATAGTTAAAAATTATCATGTTTGAGATGGTGGTAGTACTTGTTTTTATATATATTTTTAGAAAAACAACGCATTAACTCTAAAATCATCAGTATTTCCAAATGTGTATATTTACCATTTGTGTTTTTACCATTTTTAACGGAGCACCTAAGCTTCTATATTTTTCAAATTTGTGTTTTTACCATTTCCCTCTGTCCGTAATACACTCTCGCTCATTCCCCTCGCAATTTAAATTTGTATATTTACCATTTTTAATGGAGCTCCTAAACTTCTATATTTCCAAATTTGTGTTTTTACCATATCCCTCCGTCCGTACTGCACTCTCGCTCGTTCCCCTCGCAATTTAACCTTTACCAGAAAAACCAAAAATAGATTGAAGCAGTAAAAGAAAAACAAGCCACACGCACACGCTGCCAACTAACCGGTGGGCCCGTCAATCCACCCCACCCGAAGCCCAGCCAATGGGAAGCCACCGATACCCACATCTATGGATTGCTGCCCCACTTTCAACCCATATCTACCGTCCGTCTCCATCTGACACCTCCCAGTGCTTGCGCCCATCGAACCACCCCCACCCAAACCCTAGCCAATGGGAAGCCACCGATACCCACACCCACGGATCGCTGCCCCACTCCCAACCCATCTCCACCGTCCGTCTCCATCCTACACCACCCCGTTCTCGCGCCCATCGATCCAACCGACCAAAACCCCAGCCAATGGGAAGCCACCGATACCCACACCCACGGATCGCTGCCCCACTCCCAACCCATCTCCACCGTCCATCTCCATCCGACGCCTCCCCGTGCTCGCGCCCATCGATCCACCCCTCCCGAGCCGCAGCCAATGGGAAGCCACCGATAGCGACACCCACGGATCACTGCCCCACTCCCAACAATATCCACCATCCGTCTCCATCCAACACCTCCCCGTGCTCGCACCCATCCGCCCCAAAGATTTCCCCCACTCCTGCCTCGCCTCTTCCTTCCCCTACAAATACCCACCAAATCCACCACTCAAACCACCCGCAAATTCACCTTGAGTCCGCTCCAAATCCAAATCTCACCTTGAATTCTTCTCCTTCTCCTCCTCCTTCTCCTCTCTTTCTCCTTCGGTGAGAGATGGCCCGCACAAAGCAGACGGCGAAGAAGTCCACCGCCAGCAATGTGCCGAGGAAGCTGCTGGTGATGAAGGTGGCACGCAAGTCAGCACCGACGATGGCAGGGCTGAAGAAGCCACACCGCTTCAAGCCAGGGACCGTCGCACTCCGAGAGATCCGCACATACCAGAAGAGCACAGAGCTGCTAATCCGCAAGCTCCCCTTCCAGCGGCTGGTGCAGGAGATCGCGCAGGACGTTAGGTCCTATGTTCGCTTCCAGAGCTCTGCCGTGGTTGCGCTGCAGGAGGCTGCCGAGACCTACCTTGTGGGGCTCTTCAAGGACACCAACCTCTGTGTTATCCATGCCAAACGCGTCACCATCATGCCCAAGGACATCCAGCTCGCGCGCCGCATCAGGGGCGAGAAGGCCTAGGTTTGGGGGCATCATCTTGTCCAATCGCGCTTCTTCTGTCTGTGTTCTTGGCTACTAGCACATTTTTAAATTCATGTCCGTAGGTTAGGAGATGTTTTGGTCAGGTTTGATGGGTGAACTGGCTTTTTATTTTATCCTGTGATGCTGTAATCGTTATGGTTTGCTAATCTTAATGGAAAGGCTATGTCGTTTGGGATTTCTGAATGAATTGTTGAGAGTGGATGTTCTGTTAATCTTTTGAATTTTTTGAGATATGTTGGATCTGGCAGGCTAATATTTTGCTCTCAACTAACAATACAGTTTCAGCAGGGTTTGAATTTTCGGCATACATGGACCGCTGCAGTGTCTATGCAGAAACTTGTTTCTGGAATTTCTTTTATTTGCATTGCATCAATAATAAGGGAAGATTTAGGCAAGTCGGGAAGAGAAACTAATAATTCTTTTCCACAAAACTAGACATATCTTAGCAATTGTACAATAAAAAAACACAGGTGAGATGGGCTTGTGCTTTTGCTATCCCGATGATAACGGCATAAAGTATTTCTAAACCGACAACTCTAAGAATGGCATGAATCTAATTTTTACAAATCCATGACTGGCTGTAACGCCCCAATTTTTGTTCGGGATTAAAAATCATTAAATAATGCATTTTCAGAAATTAAATAAAAATTAGAGCAAATTTGTATTTCCACATTTGTATATTTACCATTTGTGTTTTTACCATTTTTAACGGAGCTCCTAAACTTCTATATTTCCAAAATTGTGTTTTTACCATTTCCCTCCGTCCGTACTACACTCTCGCTCGTTCCCCTCGCAATTTAACCTTTACTAGCAAAACCAAAAATAGATTGAAGCAGTAAGAGAAAAACAAGCCACACGCACGCGCCGCCAACTAACCAGTGGGCCCATCGATCCACCCCACCCAAAGCCCAGCCAATGGGAAGCCACCGATACCCACACCTACGGATTGCTGCCCCACTTTCAACCCATCTCTACCATCCGTCTCCATCCGATGCCTCCCGGTGCTTCCGCCCATCGAACCACCCCCACCCAAACCCTAGCCAATGGGAAGCCACCGATACCCACACCCACGGATTGCTGCCCCACTCCCAACCCATCTCGACCGTCCGTCTCCATCCGATGCCTCCCCGTTCTCGCGCCCATCGATCCACCCTACCAAAACCCCTACCGATGGGAAGCCACCGATACCCACACCCACGGATCGCTGCCACACTCCCAACCCATCTCCACCGTCCGTCTCCATCCAACGCCTCCACATGCTTGCGCCCATCGATCCACCCCTCTCGAACCGCAGCCAATGGGAAGCCACCGATAGCGACACCCACGGATCACTGCCCCACTCCAAACAATATCCACCATCTGTCTCCATCCAACACCTCCCCGTGCTCGCACCCATCCGCCCAAAAGATTCCCCCCACTCCTGGCGCGCCTTTTCCTTCCCCTACAAATACCCACCAAATCCACCACTCAAACCACATCACATTTTCATATTCGAGTCCGTAGGTTAGGAGATGTTTTGGTCAGGTTTGATGGGTGAACTGCCTTTTTATGTTATCCTGTGATGCTGTAATTGTCATGGTTTGCTAATCTTAATGGAAAGGCTATGTCGTTTGGGATTTCTGAATGAATTGTTGAGAGTGGATGTTCTGTTGATCTTTTGAATTTTGATGAGATATGTTGGATCTGGCAGGCTAATATTTTGCTCTCAACTAACAATACAGTTTCAGCAGGGTTTGAATTTTCGGCATACATGGACCGCTGTAGTGTCAATGCTGAAACTTGTTTCAGGAATTCTTTTTATTTGCATTGCATCAATAATAAGGGAAGATTTGGGCAAGTCAGGAAGAGAAACTAATAATTCCTTTCCACAAAAATAGACATATTTTAGCATTTATACAATAAAAAAACACGGGTGAAATGGGTTTGTGCTTTTGCTATCCCGATGATAACAGCATAAAGTTTTTCTAAACCGACAACCCTAAGAATGGCATGAATCTAATTGTTCCAAATCCATGAATGGCTGTAATGCCCCGATTTTCGTTTGGGATTAAAAATCATTAAATAATGTATTTTCCAGAAATTAAATAAAAATTAGAGCAATTTAATCAAGTGAAATAATGAAGGAATTAAAATTTTCCTTTAAAAATCATGGCCGGGAATATTTTTTAATATTCTCTGTGCCCTAAAATATTCTCTGAAATTTCCCGTGAATTTTTGGAGCTCAAGAAGTAATTTTAAATAGCACAAAGTTCATTCCATCAATTAAATAAATAGAAAACCAATTTAACCTTCCCCATCCTCCATTTGGGCGCAGCACAGTTCCTCCCTCCTCCTTCCCGGCCAGGCCAACCTCCCCTTCCCCTCCCTCGGCCCAGCTCGTTTTTCCCGTCGCCAAGTCCATGCCACCTCTCTCCTCTCCCCAAGCCACCGACAGGTGGGCCGCACCTATCGGGGTCATCCCCTTCCTCGAACCACCCAACCGCCATGGCCGCCGGCCCATCCCCACGTCGCCGCGTCACGCGCGCCACCCCGCCCACCTCCTCCACTCCGCGCGTCCGTACCCGGCCGTGGGACACCGTCGCCCACGTCCCCGCTCTCCTCCTTAACTCCTCCTTGCAAACTCCCTCCTCTACCAAGCCGACGATAGGTGGGCCGCACCTATCGGGGTCATCCCTTTCCTCCAACCACCCAACCGCCATGGCCATAGGCCCCTCCCCACATCGTCGCGTCACACGCGCCACCCCGCCCACCTCCTCCACTCCGCGCGCCCGTACCCGGCCGTGGGACCCCGTCGCCCACGTCCCCGCTCTCCTCAACTCCTCCTCGCAAAATCGGCGCCGAACCACCGCCACCCCACCCCCCACGACGATGCCGCCCACGTCGCCGCCGGTTGCCGCCACCCCACCTCTCCTCGGAGCTCCCTCTCCTTTTTTCCCCATTTCCCCGAGCACCCCGCGCCCTCTCCCGCTCTCTCCACGCCGCTCCCCATCACCGCCGCTCGCCGGCGACCATCGACCGCCCACCACCACTGCTCCTGTCATCCCCGTGCCGCGCTATTTGCACCACCAGCATCACCACACCTCGCTGCACGCCGGTCTTTCCTCCATTTCAACAATCCGCCACCGGATCACCACCTCCACCGCGAACCAGAGGTCGCCGCCACATTCGCCGCCTCTGGTCGCCGTTTGCCGCCGCTCTCGGCCATCCCAAGCTGCGCCGTGGCCACCCCCAGCACCGCCGCGCCTCACCGCTCCTCTGCATCCACTCCTCTTCACCGGGATCCCGCTGGAGTTCCGTCTCCCTCGCTCGATGGTGAGCTCCGTCACCCCCATCGCCTCCGGCCGCCTTTCCTCACCATTCCCGACCCCCTCACACCCTCCTAACCCCTTCTCCTCCTTCAATAGGCCCTGAGCGCCGTCGGCCGCCCCTCTTTCGCCGGTCATCACTGGGACGCGGTTCGCCGCCTCCTGTGCCGCCGTCGGCCGCTTCCCCGTTCGTCTCATCGTCGTCGCCCTTGGTGAGAACTCCCCTCCCTCTCCCTCTTTCTCTCCTTCCCCAGCCGCCTCCCGGGCCTGCTTGCTATGCGTCGCCGCCACAGGTGGCCGTCCGGCCGGGTCGCCATCGCCGTGCGCCGCATCCGCGCCACCGCCGGCTGCCGGCTCCCATGCCACACGGCCGATCTAGGCCGTCAGATCGACCCCGGCCTCCATCCGGGCCGCCCGTGTGTCCACACATGTCGCCGCCATGTCGGCACCCCGCCGGCGCCACATGTGCGCCACGTGGTGCACTAGCCCGTGCCTCGGTCCACGGTTGTCCGAAGCCCCTGAGTCACCGACGGGTGGGGCCCACTTGTCGGCGCCATCCCCTTCCTCTCGGCTGATGCCATAAATAATATTAATTGTGCAATAAATCAATAATAATTATAGAAATTCATTTAAATGGCTCAAAACTTCTAAAATTCATAACTAATTCATACGAACTCCAAATTGAGCCATTCAACTTGCAAAATTCATCTAAAATTGAGATCTATATGATTGTTTACTTTTCATGCACATTGTTCTTGGTTTTTATTAGAATTTTCCTCATTTTGCGTGCCAGCGCGTAGATTCCGCCGTTTTGGAAGATCACGATCGCGAGGAAAAGAGTTCAGAAGATTATTTTCAAGAAGCAAGGTAAGTCACACATCCCCCCTGAGCATATTGAGCCTACTTTATAAATGTTTTATCGTTTGCAAATAAATATGCATGTTTTGCTAATTACATGGGAATAGGGTTTTAACTATCTGCTCGCTTGTGCCATGTTTACTTGATGTCCGTCTTTTGTCAAACTTGGGTGATAAATAGACTAGCTTGTGTTACTTATGTTGAGCTAGCTAGAACTATATGCTTAGCCATGCTTAATTGCCACTTGCTCACACAATAGGATAAATACATTATTAGACATCTTAGTATCATAACGAGCTTCGTGCTCGGGACATCCGGCCATGATTCATTGGTCCTAATTATCCAACTAAAATGCGATTGAATGGTGGGCTATGGGTGCATGTTTTTGCTAGTCACGCCCATGGCAATTAAGGACTGGTCCGCGAGAAACCCTGGAAGACATACAATGCTTACCACAAACGGGAATGGGTAACTGCTTGACTTGTAGTATAGCTTTCCTCTGGCTGACGTACCCAGGCTAGGGTGGGCGTGATGAAGTATGGATGGGCCCTGCGACGGGCTTTGCTGCTTCCGGATTCACCGTGGCACGAGGGGGGCTGTCCGCTGCCTGCTAGGGGCGGGGGTGAAACTCGCGGTGTGGTGTGATTGGTCAGGGGCAGTTATATGAAGGGTCTTGTCACAATCACTCGACATTGTGTCGTGTCATGCATGGCGCGATGACATGTCGGTGTATTGTGTCTTGTGGGTACAGTTGTGCACCTCTGGCCAGAGTAGAACTATTCGAATAGTCGGGCCCGCGGTTATGGGCGATCAACCAGATTCACTGTGATTAGTCTCACCCTTAATAAATCGACTCAACGCACTGGTTAGTTCAGGTGGGATGGTTGGGCCTGTTCAACGTGGTGTAGCGTTGATAAGTGGAGATTTAATATTACCTTAATTAACTAATTGTTTTACAGTTTTGCTCAATAAAATGTTTTAAAACCGTCTTTATGCAAATAGCCACAAGCCTTCGTTGTTTCCC